ACCACATCAAACCAATATACAAGTAACCAGGAAAACTGTACAATTTAAAATCAAATAAAATGCCTTTTACATTCTTTAGAGCACATATTTATGATCCTATGATTGTACCATGCTAAAAAAATGCATCAAACCAAAATACAAGCAATGAGGAAAATTATAATTCAAAAGTAAACGAATTGACTTTTACATGCCTCAGAGCCTATGAAGCACTGACACGGATACAGGGACATGGGCACGACACGATATGAGGACATAACACAATACAGGGGCACGACATAATTGAAAAAAATAGGATATAAGACGTTATTGACATATTTTTATGTTTAACTAATTATTAACATAAAATATTTATTTTTTCATTATTCATTATTAAAAACATCACAATACAGATTATACAAGGATAAAATTTAATGTCATAAATTTAGTTTATATTATTAAACCTCATGCTAATGAAATTAATTTTTTTAAAGTTAGATATAACATGTTTCAAAAAAATTCATCCAGTTTTTCTACTAAAATTTAAAAAAATCTTATGATTACAAAGAGGATTTATTGATGATCGATTTCAACAAATATTTGATGCACATTTAATGCTCGATTTTGAAGAATGTTAGGGGGAGCTTCAATATGACGAGTTATGATATTGTTTCGACTATGAGGTATAATTATATAATTTTCTAATTCGTGTGTCCCATTTTCTTGAAATCATGCTAAGCTCATGTCCGATGCAATGTTGAGGTATGACCGAGATATGTTCAGGCCTGAAAAAAATTCAAACATATATTTTGAAGTGTCGGGACATATCGGACAAGTGTCGATGTTCGATACGAGTACAACACAGTTTTAAAAGTGTCGGTGTTAAATAACTTAGAGCCCATATTTATAATCACATAACCTCCTAAAAAAATAATAGATAGGGTCAGCTAATCATTCATGGAGAAGAATCACCAAAAGCTTATAACATATAGCATACCAAGCCCAATACAATAAATGAATCATACAAAACTAGCAAACATCCTTGTAAAAGAGTTACAATAAGAAGATTTTTACGCAAAAGAAATGCAAGTCATGGTCTAGCTAGAATGCAAAAGTCACATAAGATTGGTTTGGTAAGAGAGGCAAAAGTTTTGTGGTGCTGTTATAGTTATACGTCAATTAGTCTCATAGAATCTCTACAAGATAAATATTCTAGAGACGAAGTATAAAAATTTGCAATCCATTAGTCAAAAGATAAAATAGTTGAGTTGAACCATCACAAAAATAAAATCAAATAATTTCGTTTAGCAAATACCAAGGGTGATCGAAACGGGCAAGCATATTATACTTTTGATCAACTAATAAAAAAAACATAAAGATAGCTTGACACCTTAATGCAACCTAATGAACTACTCAAAATATTGATGTATGAAAAAAATTTCATCCCAACAAACACTAATATTGGGCATATTGCAAGTGAAAGTATAAAAGAAAAATGTCTTATTGTAAACCAAGAAGCATAAGATCATGATGATGAATAGCCGAAATAGCCTTTATTAATCTTCAATTCTCAAGTCTCGACTATTTGGGGTTGAGTTGTCAACTTTATTAATCTTCAATTCTCATTAATTCTTCTTGAGTGTTTCCCCGGGTATTAAACTATTTTTCTCAAATCATTTTCAGCAATTCGTAATCATGCTAGCTTACCTCTGCCCAAATTATTTTCTAAATCAACAATAATTTTATCTACCCATGTAATGAGCACATTTCTACCTTTATTGTGCATATAAACAACCTTAATCTATTTTCAACAAATTAATCTTCAATAGATGTCACTCCAATTATTTTTCTAAAACAATCATCAATTCCACACAAACCCATGTTCAAAGCATGGACAAGAGTATTGCATTAAGATTCCAAGTCATCATGTTGATCCACACTCCAAATCTTCCACCTTCCGTTCAAAGCACTGTCGGCCTTAGGCATGTCAAACTAGCAATAAATGAGGAGGAAACAGTCCAAATCTCCTTCAAAGACCCCTTGGTCGACCACTTCAATCAAGAACATCCATCCTTTCATAGCTTGACTGAATTTTCCACTCACCAATTGATATATATTGCTTAAATCTTTGTATAAACACCCTTTCTGCTCATTTTTGGATGGTTCTTGAATGATTAATGATCTTTGCTTGTGAGTGAAATACCTTATTGAAGCATGAAGCCAACTAAGACCCTTAGACTTTGATGAGGACAAGTTACTTTTGTATTATATAACCCCAACCACACTGCCCACCCCCTCCCTGGCACACAAAAAATAAAAATAAAAATAAAAATTAAAAAAATAAATAAATAATCAAAAAATAAAGACCATACCTTACATTCCTCTAGGTTTTATCACTTCTCTGGGCCTTGCGACCACCAATTACCATTTTCACAATTCTAAAAAGCCACAACTCCAACCCAAGGCTAAACACCATCTCCTCTCCCCACATACAGAACAAAAACCCTAATGCCAATGTCTCTCGATATCTCCTCCACAATAAACACAATTCTTCCACTACTATCGTCTTCCATACCTCTCTCCACACAACACCAACCCTTAAAGCTTATCTCTAACTTTCAGCAAAGGCATCCCCTAGCCATCCCAAGGGCTCATCCACTTACAAGCATCACAGATTTAGTAGTGTGATACCTACACCTCTTAGCCAACCCATAAATCCACCCAAAACCTAGCCCCATCTAACTACCCACGTTTACAAACGTCTCCTCATATTACCATAATCCACCACCTAAAAAGAGAGTGTGCCTTCATCTTCAAGATTTTATCATCACACATCTATTTTAACAATTATAACTTCCATCATCTTCTAATTAGCAATCAATGACCTTTTTTATCACCCAAAACTTAGATCCGTACAACATAGTTGGTGTAATTGTAATCTCATAAAATTTATTGTTAAGTCTATATGATGTCTTCTAATCAAATGATACTCCTTAGACACTTTTCCTATTTAACCAATTATCACTACTAAAAACAAGTATTATGCTCATCTCCAATCTTTTATTTAATAATCCAAGAACTTAAAATATATCATAAATAGGTATCACTTTATTTATAGTAAAATTAACAAAGAAGCATTAGTATCATGCTAATAAAATTACATAACATAAACTCAATATTATTCTACTAATTTAAATCCAACTATTGTTTATATTCATTCTTTAAACTTAATTTTTCACTACTGTGAACAGATATTAATCAAAACATATCTACCAAAAGCATATATCAAATCACCTAACTCACTTTAAATAGCTTTTATAAGCATCAAAATAACTAATACATTAAGAAATTGACTCACACTAATCTTTAATGTAATCCTAATGTAATTTGAAACTCTTCGGTCAATTCATAATTTTCAATGCTAGTCAGCCTTTAAGCACGCATGATTTTATTTCTAATGTAAAAAATTCTCATCTTTCAAATCCCTCAACTTTATCCTAAAGACAAAAGCAATTATTAACATTCACAAATTTTTGCATACTCCAATTATGCATTCATAACTACTATTTATTTTAAGTAATGAAATCTATTTGTGCTTTGTTAGCTTCAATTTTAAAAGAAACTAAGTGCTTTTTAGGTTTCTTAAAGTATGAGCTCAAAACTAGTAGATTATATACTGCTATAAAATCAATAATAGCTTCGTTGATTGCACTTTTTATCTTTCATTTCATAGCGCATAATACTAGAACATATATGTCCATTTAAATCACCCTTAATAAATATCATTTCGTTCTCATTTTAAAGCAATAATTATTTAAAAACTGCCCCACAATTGACTTTTAAACTACCTTTTAATCCAACACGGAGAACACAAGCACCGACAACATTTATTTTATCCTCTTTGATAATTATCTTCAAATAATTACTCTATCCATTTCATCAATTTTATATTCCAACCTTCCATTCACCGGTATCTTAACCTCATTTTCATTGTTAACCTTTCTAATATACAATAACTTTTAACATTCGCAAATGTCCTTGGAATTTTACTATTTTCATTTAGTTTCTTAAAAGCAAATAATGCTAATTCTTATACTCATCATTGTATTAATATTTCTCTTATCTTCACATTGAAAATCCTTAAATGTCAAATAGCAAATCTATTATTAATTTCAAACCTAAATTTTGACAATGATTGGATTAAGTTGAAGCATCACTTGCAAGTAATATTCATGTGGCATACTAGGCCATTGATGAAGGTTCAAGGAAAAAATCTCGTTATTTCTGTAAGGAGAAAATTTTTTAATGCATCTAGCAAAATAGGGCCAAGAAAACAAAAAGATAGACATACACACACACACACATTTAATTCAGCATAAGCTATAAATATTCAGATCAAATAATCCTAACACATATGTAAAAAAATTCAAAGGTGGAATCAATATAAACAACAATTAAAATTCAACAGGAAACTATACAACATTTAATAAAACAATCATACAAAGAAATGTAGCCAAGATAAATTTATAGATCGAAAACAAAATGCACAATGAGAGCCTGAAAAATAATGCAAACTCAAATAAAAGAGTTTTTTTTAGCAAAAAGGGATCCCATTTTTACCAATAAACTAGCATCATGACAAATCTTTCTTGTTAAAAACTATAAAAGTAAGACTAAATTTTAGCTACAAATTTTCAAAGGCAATGAGAGTGCCGCATCTAAAGAGCAATTATTAGGTGTGGAGTACGTACATGCGAAGTTCGTTTTATTTTGGTTGTATTGGTTGTATTGATGCAACCAATACAAACAAAATACAACGAAATCCGTATGTGAGAAGTCTGCACCTAAAAATTTTTCCATCCTAAGTGCACTTTAAAACCTTCTAATTCATACACACAGCAGTCCATATTTTGGGTGTTGGAACACAAATATTGGAGTGAATAATGAAGCCAAAGTCAAAGTAAAAAAAAAAAAACAACCTTTGATGTTAACAAAGAATATACTATGACAGGGCACAAACAAACCTTGAAAGAAAGTATAGCAATCCCTCTAAACTTTCCACTTTCAGGGAAAGTCATGCAGTCCACCTCAGTTACAGTTCCACAGTCCTCAAAAAAACTTCTTATATCATCCTCACTAGAATAGTATGGAATGCCTCCTACGTATACTTTCTTTGCTTCACTGTGAGACAAAGAAAAATCATAAAAATATCCCCACCAATAAACAATCGCTACACATCAAGAACAAGGTAATTGGAAATACATTCACCTCTCATCAACTTGCATTGGCACTACCACTTCTGCTATTTTGCCCACACCATTCAGGTTATCAATCTCATCACCATTAATTTTCTCCTGTTGCCCTTCCACTCGCTCCTTCCCCTTCTTCTCAAGCTTCATTTCTCTCCATTTCTTCCTCTTTTGCCTATCTTTCTTCTTTTTCTCCAACTTCTGCACCTCCTTATTGAAACCCTCGTCCAGCTCCTGGCCTCCATCTTCCACTCTCTTTCTCTTTTTACCCTCACCTTTCGCCTTCAAATCAACGGAACCCTCATTTTTCACGCTTCCTTGACAATCCTCCAAGCTTCCATCTCCATTCTCCAATTCCTCCGGTAATGGCTGCTTATTTCCCCTCTTTCCTCGCTTCAGAAGCTTAGGCCTTCGAGATTTGGTGACCAGGAGCTCTCGAACGATCTGCAACTCTTGATTAACTCCTGCCGCGCTCGAAGCATCTTTGTGCGGTTCCTTGGATTCATGGGCTGCGAGGGATTCGGCTAGAAGGGACCGAAACTTCTTCTTAAGCTTTTTGCGAGATAAAACCATCGCGGAGCGAAGCAAGCAACGATAGAACGCTATACCAGTACTCGTTCTCTCGCGGGTAACGAAGGTGAATGCTTCAGAGAAGAAGAGTAACCCTCTCTCAGGTTAGCCCTCGCCGGAGGCTCTAGATCGCCGTAAAATTGCCGGCGGATTTTGTGAGAAAGACGACGGCGATGGCGTAGCGGAAAGTGGAGCTATTATGGAAAATTATTTCAGCCACTGATTTGAGTGTTGAATTAAAATAAAATTTAAATTTAAATTTATAAGAGAGTAATTGTTTCTAAAAGTATTTTGGGGAAATTAGATCCATAATACTCTCAAAATTGCTATTTACAAATTTATCACCAATTTTCATCCATTTTTCAAATTCTCGCTTTAATATCAAATTTCGTGATAAAATTCCAACCCATATTTTTATTTTTTTCAATTTCTTAATAGTTTGGTCATGTCACACACACAAATAGTACACATAGATATATATATATATATATATATATATATATATATATATATTGGTCGTGTTGTGTACCCCGACCTGTTAGTAGGTATTCACGGTATAAAACCCTTCAACTCGGGGGGTTTGAATCCCCTTGACACAGTTAGCCTTGAGAATGTGGCACTCAAATTCTTATGCACATTAAGGGTGGTTGGAGACTCGTATAATAGTCCATGGCCAATCCCTTTATATATATATATATATATATATATATATGTTTGGTACTTTAAAATTATTAAATGAGTGTGAAATTTATAAATAGCAGTGTTTCGCATGTTATGTATATAAATTATTTTTGCATATGTGATGAATCTAAACCATTTAATGAGAAAATATAGTAAAATAAATATAAAATTTTCATATGAATATGAAAGAGAATGATGGACTCTATTATTCATAGGACGAATATTTGGGATGAACGATATCAAAAAACATGTGTCTTCTAAAGAGATAATTATATGTTTGATGCACTAATATTTGATGCCCTACTAAACTATATCAATACTATCTTTGTAATATTTTGATTAATAGGTTCTTCAGTAGACTCTCCTTTAGCAAACATCTCTGTTATAGCATGTGCAAACTTTTTATTTATTTTGATTTTAACAAACCTTTCTAATGGGTGCTGACTTTTTAAAATAGTCTTAACTATGTTTGGCGACCATTTAATAATTATTAATAGTCTATTAATGGAGTGATATTTATGTTGGCATGAATAATAGGAGGTATGATTAGTTTTGCTTTTTGATTGTTAGTGAGTGACTAATATTAATTAAACTTTGTTATGTGCTTGGTTAACAAAAACTCTCTCGAAATTTCTTATGCCAATAAGACTTATTACATTTCATCCTCTTCTTAATGTAAGAATTTAATTCTCTTGTTGATTAATTTTTCTCCCAAACTCTCAGACTCGTATATCACGATGCCATCCTTATATGTTTTCTCAAGATGAAAGTAAGGTTTGTTAAGGACTTATTGTAATTAGTGATTTCATAAGATTTCTTATCAATGTCTATTGTCTTATTTCAATCTAGGTAAAAAATATAATTAGGATGGATTTATTAATGTACAAATTTAGAGTTAATAAGTCCTCCATTGATGCTTTTGCAATTGTGAGGAGCTTTCGATGCTATAATTGAATTAGCTATTAATCCTCTGCATAATGGGTGAAAGATTTTCAATTATAATAAGAGAAAAGTTATAATGTTTTTTTCTTAGGTTTTTTTTTCTCCTCTTAGGATATATCACATGCACATATATCACTATAAATAATGGGATTCAACTCATAATTTATTATATCATAAGATTATTTTATTCATTTATATCCCCTTTTATTTTGAGTCATAACACAAATTGTAATAATTGATGCCATGAATATTCCTTGTTCATTGTACTCTCTCAACTTAATTGTGAATTTATTCTATGATTTGAAATATCTTTTTTAATTAATAAAAATAAAATTTATAGTTGAGATTCCCACAAGATAATCTGTAGTGTTTAAAATTATTCTCCAAGAGACTCATTTCCAAGAAAATTAAAAAAATTTAAAAACCCATGAAATGCTTTATTAATGTCTAATTATCTATATAAATTACTATTGTGACGCGTTCCAAGGTTAGTTGGTAGAGCATTCGCTTTAGCGGTGTAAGTCTCCTCTAGTCTGGGGTTCAAATCCAGCCTCCAACGACTGTTATCTCAAGGAAGGGGTACTTGAATATTTAGGCGCATGAGTTGCCTCTAGAACTGACAGGAGTTGAGCCAATAGGGTGAGTTAGGGACATCACGCCCCCGACCCATTCTTGAAAGAAAAAAAAATATCTATATCAATTATTATTTTAGTATTTGCTACATGTAAGATTGGTAATTCGCTTGATTCCAATTATTATTCAATGATTATACCTAGTAGACATACACACTATCTCTAACCATTCAATCCTTTTTGGATTAACCTATTAGGAGCTATTTAAAATCACTTTTGTATTTTTTTTTAATTAATTTTCATATTGCTTTTTTTATTTTATTTATCTGAAATAAAATATATTTAATTTCATTTAACATCCATTGATCTTAAAAAAATAAATCAATAATTAACAGCATTAGGAACAAACGAGTTTTATTCTAAAATTATGAAAAAAAAAAAGAATATATACTTTACACAACATAATATATATATATATATATATATATATACTCTTTTGAGTATTCTAAGCATCTAAAATAATATGATGTATCAAGCCCACTGTTGAAGTGGTTGAATCAAACCTACATGCTGAAGTAGTTGAATCTCGTCTCCTAAGAAGATAACCCAACCCGTAATAATATATATATATATATGAATAATTCTCAAACACCTAAAATTAGAATAGAAATAAAATCCTCAGTTCAATATATCAATGGATAGCAGTCAACCATGGCCGGAGTCAACGTGAATCCCAACAACTTAGGAAGACGCCGGACCTCCTCCTCCTCCTCCTCCCCCCTCTCCAACGGCGGCTGATTCAAATCAATCTCCGGCGATCCCTTCTCCATCTCCCGCCCCCCGGATTGACCCACTGCCCGGTGTCTCCTCATATGCCCGCCCAGCGCTTGACCGATCGCGAACTCAAGTCCGCAGATAGAGCACTCGTGCGCTCGTGGTTTCTCTGGCACGGCGGCAGAGGTGGCGGCGCCGCCGCCCACCCTCGGCTTCTTGTGGCTAGCCCTGTGGCCCCCCAAAGCCTGAAAAGTCGTGAACTTTCGGCTACAGGTTTTGCACTCGAACACCTTCTCTTCGGTCGCCTCGCCGCCAGCGACGGTGAAGGCGGTGAAGGTATCTCCGGCGGCTGCGCGGTGGCTCTTGGAGAGAAGCATGAGAACGTTTGCTATGTTGAAGCTGTCTAATGACATGGTGGAAGACATGTTGTCTTCTTCCTCTTCTTCTTCGCTGATTAATCTGAATCTCTTCGACATTAATAAATCAAAGATTATAAGAGAGGAAGCAGAAATGGTTGTGGAGGATTTATTCGGGTTTTCTGACTATTTATAGAGCTCAGGTTGTGTTTCTTAGCTGATTAGTCAACTTAAATGGCGGCGGAGAGTTATATTTATATTTTTTCTTATAACTTTATCAGTTTTAAATTAGGATTTATTCGGGTTTTCTGACTATTTATAGAGCTAAGGATGTGTTTCTTAGCTGATTAGTCCACTTAAATGGCGGCGGAGAGTTATATTAATATTTTTTCTTATAACTTTATCAGTTTTAAATATTAAGATCTGTACATAAATGTACCACTTAGCTCCTTCGTATTTACATTTTTCATTAAATCTGAACTTGAATTTTTACGTAAAAACCAATTTTTACCTTTGCATGACAAGATGTAATTTTTAGAAGTGTTGAGAAATTAGGGTTAAGAAAAACAGAAATCGACACAAATCCAGAAGAACACATAGAGATTTACGAGGTTTGGCAAATATGTCTACATCATCGGGAGCAGAGCGGCGACTTCCTTTTCAATATTCAGAAAAGAGTACAGAATACAAGATTCAGAATCTTAGAGACTAAGAGACTCGTCTAAGGTTACAAACATAACCCTATAATACAATATGTAATTATTTAAATTAACCTTGTACCAAACTGCGGGGTGTTGCCCCCGCACCCCCAACCCACATAATGAAACTCCCCCGACTGGACAAATCCTTTCGCTCCACTTCGTTCGTGGGCTCCGCTCTGCTTCAGCATCTGCCCCATTTATGGTATATGAGTCATACCTAACAATATTCACCTTGGCGGACATTCAGCCCCTTTAGGAGAAATGCATATATCCCAACAAATCTCTACATTGGAGAATAACTAGCCTCTTAAGAGAAATATATCATGAAGTTTCTTCTGGACCAATGTGGGTTGGGTCACCATGCTTCCGTTGCGCCCTTACTGATCCCCCAACCCATTGCATATATCCCAACAAATCTCTACATTGGAGAATATCTAGCCCTTTAGGAGAAATATATCATGAAATTTCTTTTGGACCAATGTGAGTTGGGTCACCACGCTTCCGTTGCGCCCTTACACTCCAAATTTTGGTATTATGAGTCATACCTAACAAGAAGTTTACACTAAATTTCAAGAGACACAACTCTTCAATTCCAATAGACATCTCTTCATTCCAAGAGACTTCAAATTCTAGTATTAACGGTGGTTTTTTTCTTATGTAAGTGTAATTTAGGTGTTAGACATGTAAATATGTAGGAATTGAGGGGTATGTACGTAAATGTCCCTCAGCAAAAACTGAAAATGAAATTCTTATTATTGATTTGGGGGCAATTTCGCGTTACTAGATTAAATGGCCGTTGTTGAATTGAATAATTTGATGACTTTAGTGGGTAGATTATATCACAACATTTATTAGAATCAGTTGGTCTTTCTTGGCCAGCTAATTAATTGTAAAAGCAAGTACTTCATATAACACGCTTCCTTTGCTCTAAAGTTATATATATATAAATTTATTTTAATTACTTGGGTTAGCTGTACTTTCAATCTTAACTAAGTTAGAATGGTACAGCAGCGCAGGAAGTCAACAGATTGGTTGCTTACTAGTATTTATCAATATTAGACGTGTGTGTTGCCGACTATGTGGCGGTGGAGAAGTACAGCACTGGAAAGAACTGGGAGTTTCCCTTAAATTCAAATGCAGGATTTAATAATTATTTTTTATTAAGCCAAAATAGGCCTCCACTTTTTACATGAGATAATTATAGTCCTAAATTTATAGAAACATTAAAATAATCTCTCATTAATTTAAAATTAAGTATTAGAGCTGTGAATTTAGCTCGAAACTTGTAAATAGTTCGAAAATTGATTTGAATTTCAACTTAGGTGGAGATCAGATGGAATAAACGAGCTGAGTCATGAGCTAAAATTTTGAATAAAATTTTTTTGGAGCCATGCTCCTCATAATTTTTTTATTTAAAAAAATATATAAAATGGGAAATAAAATCAAATATACCGTGCAACAAGCCAATTTCGAGTCGAGCTGGAGCAGATCCAAATAACTAAATTTGTGTCATTTTGTTTTGATTTCTAGCAAGATTGAGCCAATTTTGACGATGAACTGTTTCAAATATTTCAAATTTGAACCGACTCATATCAATTTGGAGCCGGATCGAGCGCTCTTCAAATTCGAGCCGAGTTGGCTCAAAATTGAACATAACAAACCACAAGCCAATTTCATTTTAAACTCATTTCATTTGAGCCTATTGCTACCTGGCCCCAACTCGGTTCGAAATCTGCTCCTTTATAGTCTTACTAGACACTAACCGTTCCTCCATGTGAACTATTTCAACTCTAAATCTCTGGTTTAAAGAGTCTCACAATAAACTCCTATAAACTCTCAGACGAAAACATTTCGTATAAATTGCCAGGAACTATTTTAACATCTTAAAAATTTCACAATGAATTAAACTATTACCCATAAAACCTCCACGAAAATATAAAAAAATACTGCTACCACTTAGAACTATTAAATTCATTTTTACCATTACGTGACACTAAAATCAATATGTAATATTGAAAGGGTTAATAATAATTATTTATATAAAATAATTAAATGACATATATAAGATATTGAAGCATATGGTGCATGCTAACTACCAGTAAGCGGCACATGTGGGACGGAGATGAATTAGGTGAAGGCAAGAAGGCCGTTTTGTTAGTTTCACACTTTAATAATTCCATAATTAAGCATGTCAATAAACAAATATTTCCAATGGCTTGCATGCGAAGTCGTTCTTCCAATTTATTTTCACGTGCTTTCCCTCTATAACCTCCACGAAAATATAAAAAATACTGCTACCACTTAGAACTATTAAATTCATTTTTACCATTACGTGACACTAAAATCAACATGTAATATTGAAAGGGTTAATAATAATTATTTATATAAAATAATTAAATGACATATATAAGATATTGAAGCATATGGTGCATGCTAACTACCAGTAAGCGGCACATGTGGGACGGAGATGAATTAGGTGAGGGCAAGAAGGCCGTTTTGTTAGTTTCACACTTTAATAATTCCATAATTAAACATGTCAATAAACAAATATTTCCAATGTCTTGCATGCGAAGTCGTTCTTTTCACGTGCTTTCCCTCTACGGTGGACGGGTCTTGTAAGCTCTGCCCGCTTTCATATTGGTATATATATAAATATATAAAAATAAATTATATATATATATATATAATCCGAGGCGCTTTTTTTAACAAAAAATATTCAAGCAGTGATAAAAACTCATCCGGAACTCTGATTTCAGCAAACTTGCAGCCAAATTGACCAGCTTGATAAAAAAAAACCCAATGTTACCAAAAAATAGTCAAATCTGAGGAAAATCAAATATGAGGAAAATCAAATTCAGATCAAGTCATTAAACCACTCTTGAAAGTTTTCAGAACACATTTAGAATGTTCAACAAATATCAAATCTAGCAAGCCTACAATCGAGTCGAGCTTATTGACAAGACGTATCCAAAGAGCCTAAATTTGCTGAATTCTGACATTGTTCAGACACTAAATGTCCATCAAACGTCGTTTGATCAAAGGAAGCCCTCCGGGTCGTCTGATCAAATGGTTTATATTCCTAGATTCATTGCTCTCATAAGACAACAAATAGAGCCTTACTCCAGCACCATCACTGTCAATGTCAATCGTCGTCGGCCAACTTCGACCTTTGTCAACACAAGCAGTCGATCACCACAAACCCTTGTCAATCAACGTCAACCACTGTCGACCGCCATCAACAGCTACCGACTGTTGTCATTAACCACCATAGACCGTCGTCGACGACCGCTGATCACCGTCGACCACGACCGACTGATATCGTCAGTCAACAAAGTAACTTATAAAGCCTAATAACTCTTTCTCCTCCGCGGAATAAATGTTTCTATTGTCATCAAACTATAGCGGATTTTTACATCTGTGTCAGACCCCGTAGTTTTTTTCCTTTACGTATTTTCCACATAAGAACTTCTTGTGTTATTACAGGTTCTTTTCTTTTACCTAAGTGTGAGTCCCTCTTTCTTTTCTCTGTGTAACTGGTTTACTTTAATTTTAATGAATTGGAGCTTAGCTCCTTACTTTATATATATATATATATATACACACACATATGTATGTATATGTATGATAAATTTATAATAGATAATGTTCCACGTCTTGCATGTTTAGATATATAAGAATTTAAACTATTGGGTGGACATATTATATACGTTTAGCTGTCTTTGAACATGGACTACTAAAAATTTAAGATAATATTATTATTTTATTTTTAAAATGATATGAAAGTTCTTCACGTTTGGTCATTTGTAGGTTCATTGACACGTTACCAAATGTTTCGGTGAAATTATTTGGAAGTAGCCAAAAAAAAAAAAAAGTAATTAGGACTTTAGTTGAGTGATATCCATTCCAAAATAACGTGGTGGAAATATCTATTTATTTAATAACTTACAAGACTGTGTTAAAAATTTTAATGAGACTGCACTGACTTAATCTACTTTAGAAGTGTAAAAGGAAACGTTGCCTTGGAAATTAAGAATCCATATATAACTTGTCAGCGTCATCTTAATTCATAGATGTGCTTAATTAGAAATTAAAATTGGAGGGGCATTTATATAAATATCTCCCAACTCTCATATATTTACATTATAGCAACTAAATGTAAAAAATATAGCATTTTAACTTTCAGAAAGTGAAGTGCAGCTTTTCACGTATGGACAAGGTGGTATGCATGGTATGTAAAGATTAATGTTTAGGTGTAATTAGAAATGTAAATACGTAAGAATTGAGGGGGATGTATATAAATCTTGTTGTTGTATATGTATTTATCAAGGCAAAGAAACATCACGTGCCCCACTTCTAAATCTTCTAGATGGATGATTAGGAGGACTTGTGTGTTCTGATTGAAGTGATCGGCAAAACAAGAAAATGAGTGTAGAACTAGCAAAGGCAACCA